CACATTTTGTCTTAGCATGTCATCATCCCTATTTTATCCATCATCCCTCCAAAAAGGAACAAAATTAAACGTAAATTACTCTCTATAAAATCGTTGTTGCTCAAACAAACCATAATTTTTATAGTTTTCAATTTTGTTTGGTTACAGAGCTAATAGAATAGAAAATCAGACCCTTCCTGCCACACTCACCTGTCACATCCTCTCTTTCACAATTTGTTGGTAGCTCTCTCTTACGTTTCATTATATATTACCTATAACCAATAGAAAGTCAAGGTTTTCATCTATCAAATGACGTATTGTATAACGTTGTATTACGAACATAATATCATCAATTTCACTCATAGTACAAGATTCATTCCCATGGCTTTGTTGCATTATTTAATTAAATAAAAATTATTAAGTGCATTACTAACTATAGTATAAGAAATTAGGGTTAACTCTCTCGAAACCCGACAGCAAGAAAAAAGAAGATTAGGTACGTACTTCATTTCTTGTTTTTCACATTTATTCTTTAAATCTTTCATAGAAAAAAATCATATTTTCTAGTGAAGTATTTTTAAGAAAATAAAATAAAGATTTGTCCATGAATTTAATGAGTATTTGTTTTGAATAGCCTGTGTGAAAAGTAATTTTCATGTTAAAATTAAAAATACTTTTCCTCATCTCAAATTTCCTTTGTGTAATCCTAAAAACCTCTTAAATGCATTTCAAACATATTTTTTCAGTACTTATAGTTCATCTGTTATTTTTCTATCTTATCTCGAAATAGAATCAGTCAATTCAACCGACCGTGTAACCACCAAAAAAAAAAAGAAGATATAAATCTAAATTACTCTTCTTTTTCTTTCTAGAATGACTTCAATTTCTAACATAAAACTATATTTGTTTATCCTAAGTAGCTCTACATTCATAACTGTATACATCTATTTATAATTAAATTTTATTGTTTTTTTTTGCCCTTTAAACCGTGTCTAACTACTATCCTTGCCATTACAAGTTGTAAATCACTCAGGGAATGTGCAACTCACGTTATGCTAACGAATTACATTACCCACGAGCTACTATAAGCTGCTCACGTGTGTGCCTCATGAAAGGTTTTATTATTATTATTATATGAATAATATGAATATTATTATTATTATATATTTTACTTAATCTAATCTTAACTAACCTAAAATAATCCCTATTTTTACATTTTAGTTACTTTTATAATTAGACAAAGAATAAAAATGAAAAACAAGAAATAGAATACTTAACCAATCTTCTTTTTTCATGATGTCCTTTGTTGAAGATAGTTAACTCTAATTTTTTATATTAATGATAGTAATGCACTTTATAATTTTTATTTATTTAAATAATGCACCAAAGAATATACACTAATAACACGCAAAAAGTAGACAAATTTTTCTGGCATTCTAGCTATGTGACAAGAGTCATTACAAAGGCATCCAAGCTAGTTGTTAACTTTCTCACAGGAATGATGTTGGTACCCAGAGTGAAACTGATATTTAACCATTCAGAACATAACTTATACAATGTCATTTGATAGGTGAAAACCTTGACTTTCTATTGGTTATAAGTAATATATAATTAAACGTAAGAGAAAACTATTAACAAATTCTGAAAGAGAGGATGTGACAAGTAGGTGTGGCATGAGGGGTCTGATTTTCTAATCGACAGCTCTGTAATCAAACAAAACTGAAGACTATAAAAATTATGGTTCGTCTGAGCAATGACGATTTTATAGTTAGTAATCCCTATGTTGAATTTCATTCTTATTGGAGGGGTAGTGAACAAATTAGAGAATATGGGATGCCTACAGAAAATTTGTCACCTTTCTGAGACTAGGGGAAATTCAGGATTTTTTTTAAATATTGGCTTATAAAATTAAGAACTAAAAACTAATATACTATTAAAATATGGATTATTAGCTACGATGTTATGCTATTTTAATTGGTATAACATAAACAAAACGTAGTTGAATAAAATTTTGAATGTAAGACACTAAAACTTTGTGTCATGCACAGTAATCGGTACCTGTGGAGATAAGATTAATTTAATCATATAAATATGGGTACTCAATGTGTTCAATGGTACTTGGAAAAGTGAAAATATCCTAAAATAGTTGCACATCTTGAAATACTACTCATGGTACACTATTCTTTTTCAGGAATGTTATGATATGTTTAAAGTTTTACAATTTTTAATATGTGTACAAAAGTAACATTAATACACTTCTTACCACCACACATTCCAAGACTGAAGTTACTCCAGTAACACCAATAGTTTTTGTTGGTTGAATATTACTCAAAACTAGTTCTTCCACATAGGTGTGAAATCCTGGTATAAAATTCATGGTTATGTATGACGGCTGTTCTGGAGCTGAATATAAAGCATTTACAAGATAAACCTTCAGCTGTAGTTTGGACTTCAGAACACTCACTTGATGTTGTGAAACTGTACTGATGGGTTCAATACTACAAAAATACTGACCTAAAATAAAAACACAAAATTATGAAAAAATAGAGCACCACAAAAAAATCTTAAATTCTGAATAAGCCTACAAGGATTTTACTCATCTAGATACTAAAATTGAAAAAAAAAGAAAGAAAGTAGTTTGTTCTCCCACTTTTTGGATATCTTATGTGTGTTCTTTATTAAGTTATTTTCTTAAAATGAAATGAGAAATACACTTTTGTAAAAACAATGACGTGAAGTAGTTTTGAAGTACTTCAGCCTACATCAGCCAAATTAATATGCTTGTGATGATATAAAAATAATTTCAATTCTAAAGTGACTTTCATTTATGTTTAATTCCAAAAACTAGTTTGGATGAATACTAAGAACTATTATGGTATATCTATGAATGTTGTTTAATACTAAATATCGGTGTTGTACAAAAACATGTAAATTTTCTTCTGACATTTACTGAGCTTATCAATCTTGCTGTTATAAATGGCTTTCAGGATAGTCTGATAGGTTCTAAGTGCAGCTCTAAATGACCCTGGCTATGAGAATAAATAGTGTGTAGTTGTCCATTACCATACACAGTCAATCCAATAAAAGAAAAAAAAAGGAACAATTTAATTTTCTTTATTATTTTTCAACTTTTCACTTTACCCTACGTTGCTGATTTCACAACGGTTGTTTTTAGGGTAAAGAACAAAAATGGATAAAATATAAAAGGTTTACTGCATATTCTGATATTCATTTAAGAAATTATGAAAGTAGAATATGAAAAATGTAAAACAAAAAATGTTTTTATTCTTGACATGAAAATCACTAGTCATAGTTTGAGTCATTTTGACTCTATAACTTCACATACCAATTTGTAAGAGGAATACTTTAATCAAAATTCCGATTTTTTTGTGTACTACATGTATGTAATGTTTGCTAAAAGCTTAACAAATTTTGTAAAGATACATGTAAACTTGGAATTATATTACACATTAATTCATCAACACAGACTTGGTCCAACTGATCAACCCCATGCACATAGGGTTATGCTCTTCAAGGAATTGTATTTAGAACACTAAATTCCAACTTTGTATAAACAAAGAATCAAAGTTACCAGCATGCTATCACAAGTAATTTTTTATCTAATTTTTTTCATTCTTAAGTTTACAATTTTTCATTTTAGTTATTTCCAGAATAATAAATATAAGAAATTTATAAAAAAAAAGAAATTTAATAATTATACTTTTTCAAGATATTGCTTTTTCTTTTAGGTAAGGTTGTTGTTGGTAAATAAAGTAATTTTTATTTACTTCACATATGGAATTTAAAATAAACATAAAAAAATATTAAACTTCCTAAGACTACTACAATCTAAAAGGTTTTTCTAATTAAGTTATAAGTGAGTTAAAATCATTTCTTTAGTAATAAACCATGAAACTGAAGCCAAATAAACTGTCATCAGAATAAGCTAATCTTGTAAAAAGTTAACTAAATTAAAATCTTCTCTTTTCTGTTGGTCATAAACAGTCAAATAGCAAATGTCAGAATTATAGACAAAGTTTGAAAAACAGGATGTGATAAGAAGGCATGTGGTTTGACTTTCTTATTTATATCTCAGTAAAGCAGGAAGACTGAAGGTTATAAATGTACATTAAGGCTTGGTAGCATCTGTACTATAAGTATGTAATTTGTACCAAGCTTAAAGAGTCATGTAGTGATAGAATGAAAATCTAAAACGGGCAATTCGAAATTTTACATGATACAGAGAAGTGAAGATTGATAATTTATTCAAATATTTCTTTTTTAAATTAAAACTTACATAATATTAAAATTTTAATTACAAAATACATTTTGATACCAATTTTACTGACACATATTTGTGGGTGAAATCACTGTAATTTTTGTTTCAATTATTCTAACCATATCAAGTGAAATCTTTCTGAAAGTCTTTGCCAGTTAATTCCCTAAAACAAGTAACAACCTAAAAACCAGGAATGAAAAATAAACTGATTTTTAATTGAGAGGTTATGTTGAAAGTGAAACTTTTTTTTTTACAATGAAAATGTATTTCTGATACGTACTTACCTCCTCTAACCCAAAGCTATCTTGATCTTGGTCTGCCCTCTAAACATTGTTAAAAATTTTTGCTAATAGTGCATCAGTCTTTTATACCCAATCATTTTTGCACCATTTCAGAACATGTGCTGATCATGTAACGCCCTCCACCAATCATACTATGCCACTTATACTAGCACAGCTAGCTCCCTCTACTATTCTAGAACAATATTCACTTTGAAGAATTGGCAGGTACAAACCAGAAGCACCAGCATATCAGTGGGGAGGAAGGGTGGGAAGTGAGTGAGAGGAGGTAAGTACCTATCGAAAATATATTTTCAGTGTAAGAAAATGTTACCTTCCAAAATGGTCTTACCTCCTCTCACCCAAAGCTAGAATCCTACATTGCAAAGCTGGAGGGGCTGGTAAAGGTGCATCAGTATCCAATCAAGTGGAAAGCAACCACCTGGAAGAACAAGTGTGCAAGAATATGAAAAGAAAGCACACCTGTGAGGTATAGCACTACTTTTCAAACAAGTATGCTCTTCGCCCAGTAATTAACACAGGAGCACCATGAGGGCAGAATTGAATTCACAGGCATCAATGGACTTGGGAAAAAGGCATACAGCACTGAATCAGTGGAGAAGTGCTGTATAACCATGACTTGAAACAGCATGGCATGGACAAACACAGAAGGTATAGTGTGTAAGCAACAAAAGGTCTGTATAAGTATGTGGCTAAGGGTAGTGCCTTGTATAAGATATTGTGATCAACAATTATGGCCCTCCTGGAAAAAAAAAACACCCAGGGGAAGTGCCTTACATTCAGCACTTGTATTCAGCAAGGCAAAAACATTTGGGAGAAGCACCTTAAATCCTGAATATTATAATCATTGTTTGGTATAGCAATGAGTATAATGATGATAGCACTCTTTTCGCTGAGTGGGTACACATGAACTATAAAGTCTAATTTTGATTGTTGTACAAAATCCACTAAGGAGAAAATTTCGATCCATCACTCCAGAGACTGGAAATTGGAAGTGACAAGGGCTCTCATGCTCCACTAGAAAAGGGGGGATACACACTGGGAAGTTTGGAGGTACGACACACCAGAGATAGTGCAGTGGGTGCCTGAAATTTTCTATTTTGAAAAGCAGAAGGACCCCAATTGTAAGAATCAGAGGTCAGTAGGAGCGGGCAGAAATCCACAGGAGTGTCAGGCCTTTATATATGAAACAATGAACACTGATAAAAATAAATAAAATTATAGATATACCCACACCACTCAAAAAGCAGCCAGTGGTCTTACAGAAACACCCCATCTCAACAGTGAGCATTATAGAAGTATATATATTTAGTGTTAATATAATATTAAACATACCTGACCAGGCAACACTCACCACCAGGTGAAATCCTTAAATATGATGTATTTAAACTAAATTAGATAAAGAAAAACAATATGTTGCCCAGTCTAAGGCAAACAGACATGTGTAGAACTGCCACAGGAGGAAAACAATAACTGACCAAGGGAGACGTAGCTAGGTCATGCAGGTAATGTGAAACAAATATATTGGTAGTTGTCCACATACCAGCCTGAATAATCTCCTCCAAAGGCTGGCAGATTTGAGCAGCTAAAGACATAATTAGTTAATGAATTTGGTGCGAAAAAACACTCTGCAGACAGAATGCACCAGTTGTATGAGTTGACGAACCCAACCAGTGAGGGTAATAGGTGACACACCACAGGAAACAGAGATATTTTGTGAAACAAGTATACGGGAATGAGAGCCATGAAAGGAAGCAGAACGTACCACATAACATTGCAGGGAACAAATTGGATAAAGAAAACAATCCAGATTCGAACAGGAGTACAGGTGGGAAATGGTGGTTAAGGAAACTAGAGAAAAAGCTAAACAACCTTCCTAGGCAGCAGATGTCTTGGGAAGGAAGGCCCAATCCAGATAGAGGATAACATATAGGAATGGTAAAGGATGCGGGAAACATTAATGGCATAAATAAATATTGGAAGGACTACAACTACATGCTAAGAGGAGGAAGAAATAGGTTTTAATGGAAAGATGGTACAAGGAATGCATTGTAATGGGTTCAAAGGGACATGGTAGATGGACCAGATGGAAGGGACTGAAAAGGAGGGAAATAATTGGAGAGGAGAAGGCTTTCCGGAAATAGGAGAAATGGAAGGTGTTCTACAGGGTAACCCTATAACTAGCAAAAGTTGTCACTGACAAACCCTGATCAAACAACCAGGTGAAGAATTGGAAGAGAAGAGGAACAGAAGGACAAGATGGGCAGAAGCCATGGTGAATGGCCAAAGTCTGCAGGAAGTCCAACGTTCCTGGTATACAGACAAGGAGGAAGGTCGAATGGTATGGGCAAGGAAAGGTGTTACATGAAGGGTGGGTCCCTAAGCTGAGGTAAGGGACTGGACAAAAGCCACACATGAAGATGGAGATTGGTGACCCTGGACAGAGGTAAGAGCAGGGGGTGATACTCCAGTAAGAGTCAGTGGAGAGGGAATCACGTCTGAGCAGACCATGACAAAGAATGAACCATAACCACCCATACCCTCAGGAAAAGGAGGAAATGATACAGAACCCAACAACCTGCCAAAAGTTCAATGATGTGGAAGACAGAGAGTAGCATCCTCAATGGACCATTGACCCAAAATCTCTTTGAACTTGAGGAAAGTCACCCAACCCACCAAGAAAGCGTTGGTAAACAGATAAGGCTCCAGACAAGTTGGAGTTACCTGTTGAGCTACCAAGCAAGGTCTTGGCACTGATCCCAGGGAGAAGGGTAATTGGATGGTGGTCCAAGAGATCGTGGGAGAAGTTCCATTGGTTGAGAAGCGTCCACTGAAGGGAATGCATGTGAGCTCAACCCAATGGAATGAGAGCTTCTAAGGTAGCCCACATCTTCAAGAGAGAACCCCTTGTGCAGTGAGAAAAGGAGAACTGTCTACTCCATACCCCTGAGCTGAAGTGGAGAAGGATGGGTCCAACAAAGATGGGAATTGAAGGAAAAAAAAACAATGGAATAAGATACTGAGTGCAGTTAAGAATGAATCTCTACAACTGGATCAGAAAACCTCATCTGATTAGCTTCCGGAAGAAGTAACCAGGCATGATTGACTGACTGGGCATGGGAAGAGGCAAGCAGGAGCCAGTTGTCCATGAAAAAGAGAATCCGAAAGACCCAAAGAGTGAAAATGATGGGCAAAAGAGCATACTACTCGAGAAAACATATGGAGCCAAAGAACGACTGGAAGACAAACCAAAGAAACAATGCGACGTGGAATATGAAGGTAGGCATCCCTCATGATGATTTGGTCACCCAGAGTTCCGGGGACTTTGTGGTGAAGTAAGGTGTTTCCAAATAGGAGTTCAACCAGGAAAGGTTGATGACAGGTCTCCAATCTCCCATCTTCTCAGAGACAACAATTAGATGGGAGTTCAACCCCAGTTGAGTGGCTATCATCCAATCGAGAGCCCCTTTGTGTAGTAGGTCTTGAACAGACTAGGCAAGATGACTGAAAGAGGTACAATCCTAAGAGGAAGGATGGAAGGAGATCTGGGAAGTGGTTGAGGGGGGGGGAGTGGAACTGAAGGCAGAAACCTTCAGATAGAACCTGTAGAACCCATAGAACTGTTGTGAAGTGCAGCCAAAAAGACACATAAACTAAACATAATAAGACAAAGTACTTAATACTAACGAACTAACAAAACATAGAACTTTGTAGTCTACAAAGTACATAAAAATAATGAACCCACAAAACTATGAAAATTTGATCTAAAACATAAAACAATAAGCAACACCCAAAGTACAAAACCCTAAAGGTACTTAGAAGATAAAAGACATGGAAATATTGAACTTTATAAGTCCACTCAAATAACTGATAAGACAAAGGACATGAAAGTAAACCCTACCCTAAAGCATGAGAATAAAAAAGCAACCAGTTAACAATAACAAATTTTGACTCAAATCTAATCCTCAAAAGGAACTTACAAACATAAACAGTGAAAGGATGTATAAATAACAATTACCCAAACATAACTATTGTGCAAAACCTGTACATATACCAAAAATTAAAGAAAAACAAAGTAAAAATCAAACTCTAAATGCAAATTTAAGCTAAAGCAACTTAAATGGTAAAAAAATTATAAAAATCTAACTTACCAAATAGTGAGCAGAGAAGACATGAAAGACCTAAATTGTCTTGTGAGGAAATTAGGTCAATCCATACAAGCTCACATAAACTCGCTAAACATGGGTATACCTACTGGGAGTGAAGAATACATGCTGAAAAACTTAACACAGATCTCTTAGGAAAAAGAACAATACTTAACTCAGGAGATTATGTAGAACACAGTAACAGGTGGAAAGTACCACAGAAAGAAATTTCCAACCCAGTAGCTATATCCTTCCTGATAAAAAATCGTAACATGAAAGTAAGAAATTGTTGGCTGAACTCCCTGCAAACTAAAGCCTGTACTTCTCCAGCAGACCTCGTTGACTCTGAGACCTGGGGATTTGTGTCATTGTCTACCGTTGTATGAATTTCATCATCTACCATATTAAATCTCAAATTCATATGAACAAATTAGAATTTGGAAAACAGAAATATTTCTAAAAAAAAATGAGTAGAAACAATGGGAATCAAACAGAAGAAGTCAAAACTTGAGAATTGAAAGTGTTAAAAATTTATGATTAAGTACAATCAAAATTTTGTAGTCACATGGAGAATGAGTTAAAACACATTTCTATACACTAGAATGCCAATCGAGAAAGTGATAATTATTCTAGAATAGTAGAGGGAGTTAGCTGCACTAGTATAGATGGTGCAGTATGATTGGTGGAGAGTAGTCATTACAGTAGAGGGAGTTAGCTGCACTAGTATAGATGGTGCAGTATGATTGGTGGAGGGTACTCATTAGAGCAGAGGGAGTTAGCTGCACTAGTATAGATGGTGCAGTATGATTGGTGAAGGGGTAGTCATTACAGTAGAGGGAGTTAGCTGCACTAGTATAGATGGTGCAGTATGATTGGTGAAGGGGTAGTCATTACAGTAGAGGGAGTTAGCTGCACTAGT